CAACTTTTCATTTGATCTAACATCCTTTAACATATTAAATGATTCTTTATTCTTTTATTTATCAAAATATTATCTATTAATCTATAAAAAAAAATTTTTTTACAAACATTTTCTGTATATCTAAAACAACAACATAAAATTACCAAACAAAATTTTCTCTATAGTAAATCTACATATTTGCATTAGAATTTTTTTGCTGATGAAATAGATTTATTATTCAAACAACATTTCAAATTTAATAATATTTCTATTCAAGATATGTGCTTATCAAACTCTACTCTTAATAAAGTCTGAGAATTTTTTATTTAAACAGTGATGACTGCTACTATTAAATATATTTTCAAATAAACTACTACTGCTAAATATAATTCATTATATATATGTCTGAACTTATTAATTTATAAGCAAATTAAGAAAATATACAAACTTTTCTATCAATGCAAATTATTTTCTTTATCATTCTCTTATCTAAACTTATAGATAGCTAATACTTTTTCTATTTCTGTATAAGATTACCAATTCATCCTCAAATCTACAGCTAAATATTATATATTTACTGCATCTATCAACGTCTATTTTAATTATAATATATTTTTATTATATATATATAAATTTAAATATGATATCATCAAACTAATATAAGCCAAATAACTTTTAATTAGTAAAGTAAAGTAATTGAATTTGTAAATTTATCTAATAACATGTTAATAATTTTAAAGATATATCAACAAAATAATTAATTTTTGTTTAGAAAGAAATCAAAAGAAAATTATTCTTAATCAATTAATAATAAATAATAACATATCTAACTAATACTAATTTAAATCCTAATTCAATAAATATCATACAGTTAACCATTTTCAGAATATTGCTAGTTTTAATAACAAAGATATTACTGATCCTTTCTTAAATAATCTTTTACAAAATTAGTCTCTATAGGAACAAACCTATGAATAAATAGATAACAATTCTGATAAATTTTATAATTTTTTATTTAATATTTCTTTTATTGATGAATGAAATAATATTATCAAACACCTGCTTAATTACAATGAAGAAAACCTAATAGCTAGTGAGTGAGAAGATGAAGAAGACAGTAATTAAGAAGATAAGAATTTAGATAAGGATTAGGTAGATAAAAGAACTTTAGTTTAAAAGAACAATACACTATTAATAAATAAAAATGTAATTTTCATCTTGTCAGGCCAATGAAAAAGTCTACATATTATAATAAGTGAGGTCCAAATGGTACCTATACAGTTACCACAAGTAATACAAAAAATATAACTGAATATTTTTCTTCTATAATGAAATCCAGTTATAATATTTCTTTAGACATATCTGATAAATTTTTGGGAATTTTAAATAATAAAAATGAAAAGGGTGGTTGGACATTTAAAAATCTTTGCAAAAAATTAAAATATTAAGAACTAAATTAGAATCTCATAAAAAATGTCTATTATAAAATATAATAAAAAAGTAATATTCAAATATCTTCAAAAGTTACATAAAAATAATAGAGGAAAAATAGATGTAAGTATGAAAGTTGTTAAAATAGTATTTATTAAGTCAGTTTTTATAAAGCAATAATAATTTGTAAGTGAACGGCATATTGGTTAAAAATTGATCACCTTTCTTCTATTTATCAAGAAAAATATTAAAAAATAATATAATTAATTAATAACAAAGGCATAGATAATAAGTGTAAAAGAATTTGATCACAAGTGGTGATATTACTTTAAAACTTTTAAGAATTTTATTGAAAATACTCTTTTTATTGAAATAGGTATTACTAAATAAAATTTATTTCATTTATGATAGCTATTTGATAGCTTAATATTCTTAGATTTTTTTATCAATAACATCATCAAAGCATAAATTACGATGAACATAAGTATAAAAATATGGTAATTTATCAAAAGAATTTCTTAAAATAATTTTCTCATTATGAAACTTTTATAACAAAATATGTTGAAGATGATATGAAACATATTTCTCCTAAATTAAAAGATGGTAAAAAGAATATATTTTAGTCATTTATAATAAATGTATTTTTTATGCTAATGATGGTAAATAAGAAGTATATCAAATAGTAAGCTACCACTATGAAAAAAAAGTAACAGAAGGTCTATTATAATTAGTAAATTTCTTTCTAAGGCTTGTGAATATTTATGTTTAAATCAAGAAGATATAATAAAGTATCTAACTATACCAAATGAAACGTGCATTTATTTAATATCTGAAAAAATCAAGAAGTTTATTGAACTGTTTAAAATTTACTTAAATAAATAGAATATAAAGTGATATCAATTTTTAAAGCTTTATTTTCTAATTGTGTAGCAATTTTTATTTTTGATAACAGTTCAAATTATTTAACATATCATTTTAATATATTAATAGCTAATTAGATGAATCTTCAATCTGAAAAAAAATAAAATAAAATATAAAGTATAATATGAGAACTAAATAATCAATATCAGGAAATGGTTTTTTCTGATAATTATCATATATCAGAATTTCAAAAAAAAACCTAAAATATGAAATAAATTCTTCATGAAAGAGGACTTTAGAATAAAAGATATATAGTAGATAATAGTTTATTTAAAATAAAGCTACACAAGATAATTTAACATAAACCAAATATTATATAAGACGTATTATATCATTATAACCTGATTTTCTTGTACAGAAATATGCACTTCAAGAAATAATAGAAGAAGCTGATCATATATGTATTTTTTATCTTAAATTCTATTATGAATTAAATTTTATTGAGTGATATTAGAGGCAGTAAAATATTATACTTAGGAAAATTGTAATTATTCTTGGTTAGAATTACAACAAATAGTTCCTATAAGTTTAGAAACAGTAAATCTTATTATAATTTGAAAATTTGCTTAGTTTGCTTAGTGTTATATAGATATATATAGAAAAGAAATATTGGATAAATACAGTAATAAAATATAAAAGTCATATGCGAATTTCTGATCATGTAATTAAAGAATTAAATAAAATTACTTTATAAATTTCAAGGTTTCAGTATATAAAATATCCTAAAACTTTATCACATATCTAGAATTTTATTGGTTAAATATCATGTGATGATTATGAAATGAATTTTTGAGTATATATGAAATATACTATATAAATATAAATTATTTTATTAATACTAAATCAACTTTAATGAAAATTAATATTAATTAAATTTAAATCTACTAAACAATTTTACTTAAGCTTTGGAAGTTAATTTTTTTGAATTGAAATGCTACTGTTAGATCCTTTAAATCATGAGAGAGGCAGATTAATTTATTTTATAAGTAATCACATAGCATTTATAAGTTAAAAAAATATGATAATTATCATTTAAAAATAAAGCCCAATATGATCAAACCTTTTATACTTTTAATACATAAAAATAAAAATTCTGAATACACATGTTCACTTATTGTGCAATATGAAATTAGTGTAATATTTCTGGAAAATTTTTAATAGACAAGTGGATAAGCATCACAATACTACATATAAAAAAAGTGTTAAACTTTGAGAACGTGATATCATGATTTATTTGGATTCAAAGATATAATATTACACTTTAAGTTTTTATTAGTATTAAAAAGAATTTTGATCATATGTATAATAAAATTAATATATAATAAAGCAGTTTATTTCCAATACTAAAAATATGGGGTCTGGTACATTTAACTGACACTCGTTTTACTGACAGTTATTTTACTGACAAACACCTTACTGACATGATCATTTTATCGATAAACACTTTACTAACAATCATTTGACCAATATATTTGTTTAACTGACACATTCATTTGATCGACACATTCATTTGATTGACATATTCATTTGATTAACACATTCATTTGACCAATTGACAATTATTTTATCATTACCATTAACCTTTATAAACTTTATAAAGCATATAAATTAATATTTTTTATTAATATTAAATAGATGTACTATATAAAAGAAAAAAAAATAGTTTAATAAACTATTTAAAATGAAATATTATGTGTAATTCCTCTAAGAAAATCCATAAGTGATCTATTATCATGGTCATTATACACTATTTGAATTTGAATTTCACAATTATGATTCTACCTTTTTGTAAAGATCATGCTACTTCTCGCAAAATTGATTCTGTATTGAGTTGAACTTGTTTTTGTTTATTTTGCATTTCTTTCATTATTTTAAATACATTTATATGTACACTTCCAACTAATGTTTCCCATCTTCAATGTTAAGCTTCTATAGAATTTTGAATTTAAGGAAAGGCATATTCAATATTATCAGTAATTGACCAAAGTAAAGGTGAAAATAATGGTGTAGATCTAACTATATTTCCATTTCTTAATGTATATCTTACTCTACCATAAACATAATAATTTTCAAATCATTCCATAATTTCATAAGCTTCAACTGGCATATTAATTTTTAATTCATCAAATGCTGCTGGAATATCTTCAGGAGGCAAAAAGGCAAGTGCAGGAATATGTCAAATTAACAAACTAAAAGTTTCATTAGTTCCATATTGAGTAGTAAGTCCAAAAGCTTGTACTTTATGATAAATACTTTGAGCTAAATGAAAATGGTATCCTTTATTTTGAATACTTTAAAATTCTGTATGGATAGCATTAATAGCAGCTTTTTCAAAATCTGTCAAAACAAATTGTAGTTGCAGATCAATATTCTGTTTATTACTAAAATCAATTAAATCCTGAAATAATTTCTATAACACTTCTCAGATTTGCTTAACATTAATGCATAAATAAGAAGCATAATTCATGAATTTTCATTTTCTCTAATACATCCATGGATAGTATATAATTGTTTAAAAATAGTTAGTACTGTTTTGAAAGTTCCATTTATAATCCAAAAAGAAGACTTTTTTAAGTGTCTAACATTAGCAATAGTTGTAAAAAGCAATATTCTGTTATTATTCACTATAGAATCTTTAACCAAAAAATTAGAACTATCTAAGGTTTTTTTTAAATTTTAGGAATAACAAGGTCTCTTAAAGATTCTGATATTGTAAGTAAATCTACATTTCTAATTCTTTTAATAGATTGATGAAGTACATTGTGAGATGAAAGGTATAGATATACTTCTTGTAAAGTATCAGCTATTATAGATTGAATAATTTGTACAAGTTTATCATTAGTTTGTTGTATACGCTCTTTTAATATATTAATAGTTTTTATAATATTAATCTGACTGGCTTTTACGGCATGATTGTGATCAGAAGTATGTTGAAGATAATGTTGATCTTCAATTAATTTAGTAGTTGCCTGCCTACGAAATTGTAGTAAATTACATTTTTCACAAGACTAGTAATATAAATTTCTTTGATTTTTATCTTTAATCATAAGATAACTATGAATATTAAGTTTATCTTTATTACGAATAGAAGGCATAACTTCACAGATAATATTATTCATTGAGAAAGTTAGATAAAAATAGTAAAGTAAAAAAATAGAAAAGAGAAGAGTTGTTTGATCTACGTTAAATAGGGCTATCCTTAAATAATTAATATTTGGTTGTTGGTAAAATAATCATATCGGTAAAATGATCATATTAGTAAAATAATTATGTTGGTAAAATGATTATGTCAGTAAAGTAATTGTAGGTAAAGTGGTTGTCAGTATAATAATCATGTCAGTAAAATGATCATTAGCAAAATAATCATTAGAAAATATTTGTCGATTAAATTAACAGGTCCCAAAAATATATTAAGCTATAATTTTTATCTATTTACAAAATATTTCAAGCTAGAAAAAAAGATTTAACATTAATAACAATTATTTTAATTTAGTAATTATTTAAATTTATTAGTAGAAGTTCCTCGATCTACCTATATAATATTATTAAAAGTAACAATCACGTATAATTTTCAAAGATAGAAGGTCTTTTTATATATTGTTTAGAACATGCAGAAAAATCAGTTCAAGTGGGATGGATGTCTGAAAAGTAAAGATATAAATAATCAGAAATGTTACATAAAACAATAAAGTTTGCAAGTAAGCATACGAAATAAGAAGCTTCATTTATCCTCAGTTAAGCCAACGAGTCTAATAAGAGACTAATAATTTTTCAACTAATGATGATTTAAACTTATCCCTTGAACAATTGAGTTGCTTACTAAATAAGCTGCATACTCATGCCAACTTAAGTTGTAATCTAAGCGAGAACTTATTCCTACATACTATACTTGTAATCTTACCAATTTACTATTTTATATATACCTTATTCTCATTTTTCAGTTTTAATTTCTATAGATAAAGTAGATAAAACAATTAACTCAATTGACTTAGCTTAATTAACTTATATAAAAAAAAATTATACTTACAACATTATACATCAAATTTGAAGATTGAATAAATTTACAAACTTACATTTATTTTACTTTTATTTTTATTGCTCTTCATAGTTTTATTAAATATTCATCCTTATTAAGTACTAATCTTAAAATTTTTCATTTATTTTTTCTTCAATTTCTTCAGTTTCATTAAGAATATCAAAAACAAAGTCTGTAATTTTTTCAAAATTTGTATCATCAAGTTTTCTTTTTCGTGATAAATGAGAGTGATCTTTATCAGCTTTATTGATCCATTATTGAATTATTTCATTATCAATATTCTCTTTGTTGAAAGATTCTTTTGTGTTGTCTCTACCTAATCAATATAAAAAAGTCAATTTTATGTTCTTACACGAAGTCATATCATTCTCTTAAGAAACTTACCAAGACAAATTATAATTCACAAGCTAAAATGAAAATGTACTAAATATCATAATTGCTTTAGATATTTTTTTTATCAACTACAATTCTATGCATCATTTTGTTATGCATATTATTCTTAAAATTTCTCAATAATTTAATAGATTTACTTTATACCTCCCATGAAATAATGACTTTTTCAAAAAATATTTTACATTTTCTATTATAAAATTAATTATACATAATAAATCAGCATCACTAAAATCAGTACTCATAGAAGAGCATTACTTTCACAGAAGGATTTTACAATATTAAGAGGAATATGTCTTTCATTATTAACAAGAAATTTATAAAATGTCTTTTTAATAAGATTAAGAAGTGGTTTAATAACCACTCTCTATTCACTATCAGTAAAAAAAAATACTTGTTTTACTTGTGAAAAAGATTCACGTTTATGTTCTTTATTATTATTACTATTACTATTATAATTATTGATACTATTTGAATTTTGTTCAACAACAGATGAATATAACCTAGATTTTTTAAAAATCGCAACTAGCCTGTTCTATTTAGAGAAAGCCTCAAACCAATCAAATATTGTTTATAAGCCAGGAATTTTTGATAGAAGTCTTTATCTTTTAACAAATTATCATGTAATAAATTATGTATAGAAGATTGAGTAACATTTACTAAGCAAATGGTATAAAGAGCAATTATGGTTGACTGTAAATTATTTTTAATATTCTTTTCAATAATGCTAGAGTATAATTAAGTAGAAAGTTTATTTTTAATCATAACAGTCACTGGTCATTTTCAAAATCAGGGGGTTAAATGAATTTACTAATTAAATATGCAGCTTATTGATTACTTTTTTTATTATAATTAATTAGTAAATACTGAAATTTCCAGTTTTTCATTATATGTAATCCTTAATTTTCCACCAATAAATTTTATCAAATTTTTTTTTTGATCTCTGAGTTAAGATGAATATACTGAAACAAATTTTTTCTGCTGTTTATTAATGAAAAGTTAGAAGGATTTCTTTGTAAAGTTAGTCACTTTTTTTATTAAAATATTATAATCTTTTAGATAAATGAAAAACTACGCAAACTGTATAAACAAGTTTATCTTAAGAAATATATTTTTATTCAAGATTTTTAGTTTTTAAATAAAATAAAATGTAAATTATGTAAAAAAAAAGGTTACAATATTTTGGTAAACTATCTTAATATTTATTTAAATTTGATACTTATAATAAAGAAAAATTATCTTTTTGGCCCTTTCTCAATAACGTACATATAAACTTCAAAATAAATTTAATAATAATATATTTATATTAATAGTTAACTTCTCATGTAAATGACTTTAAAAAAGAAGTAGTATTAGTAGAAGAATCTCAATTTAAAGTTCAAAAAATCATAGAAAAGCCTTATATATCAAATTATTTAAGGAAGCGAGATATTATAATGAAATTAGTACTATTTGAAAGTTCATATATGCTACTTTAGTATATTATAAAAAAAGTTTATTTTATTAAAGTCTTTATCGTGTTAGAACCTAATAAAGATAGCCAATTTACGTAATATAAAAATTTTAATTAGTAATTGGCATTACGCTAGAAATGACTAGTAACTGATAATGCTCTGAACAGTTTAGTTCAATCCAGATTATAGGCTAATCTAAAACTGAACTAAAAATTTTAGTTTAGTTCAATTCAGATTATAAATCTTAAAAATGCCAATCTGAAACTGAACTGAACTGTAAATTGGTAAAAATCTGAACTGAACTGAAAA